CAACATTTGGCAAGAACAAATGTTTATTGGAATAAATTAATAGTGTTTATTATATATTAACAAATAAAGCCAAAAGCCTTTTTTAACAATGCGTTTATTTACATACATTTCATACGTTTGGTCGCATTAGGTCCTAATCGCAGAATGTCCAACATATGGCTTGGGTGGGTCACTGACCTAAACTTAAATCGATTTTAATATCAAACGTAAGAAATAAATCTGTAAAGATTGCACGGAAACTCATGGACGTTACGGAATAATTATTATTAAGCGTGAACAGCAAACTTTGAGGTAATGCAGTTCACAACTGAGTACAGTTAGCGACTTAGTATTTTTACACGTGATATGGCGTAAGCCTATGCTACAGAAAAATATACTTCCGGACACATAATTCGAGCCACCTTCAAGGGCTAGAATACAAAAGTAGTCTTATCGTCGAAGTAAAAGTTTTCCCCCGGTTTTGAAAATCCAAATTTTCAACAAGGATTTATGGAAAACATTTAGTATACTAGTTTCAAAATTGCTTAATAGTTTTTGATCAATCGCATTGTTTAAGCTTAGGGTATTTAGAACTGAAAATGCGAGGTGGCACGAATTATATGTCCGGGAGTGTATAACCCACATCCTCTCCAATTCATGTAACTCTATCTACAATATTAGTCGATAGATAACAAGAATTAGAGAGGATGTGGGTTATATTTTTCTGTATCTAATGGAGCAATAAACGTGTTTCGCGTAACTCCACTGATGCCATTCTTCCGTGAGGGTGAGTTATATTTTTTTAAATACCCACATTTTGAAATTTGACTTTTGTGGATTACCTTGTGGGTTTAAATCCAGATTCGCACCTTCGAGTTTTTCGGATTTTAAGTGCGAAAGCAATGAGCTAGAAAACACGTGTGGAGTCCCCACAACCCGCATGGGGCCAGCGTGGCGGACTATGGCCTAAACTCACGCCTGAGGAGACCCGTGTCCAGCAGTGGTATAAATGGATTGATGATGATTTAATTATTCACTTATAAACAAGAATATAAATTTATTGGTTTCGTATTTACTCAATTCGTCAATTTTTGAGTTACGACAGTATATGGTTTTATGTCCGATGTCCGAATCTTACGGTAGTTTTCCATTTAAAATTAATCTGTCAATTTCAGAAACCATATCATAAAGGCACTCTTTTTAGTTCTGAATCAAATTTCTATTGTTTATGGTACTCGCCACTGAGCCGAAAAATTTAATTTAAAGTTCTATCAAAAAAGAACGTCGTATTTTTGCAAAATAAAATATCAATTATGCCGCTACTCAGTCGCTATACTGCTTGCAGATTGGTTAAATTGGCCTAAAAGTTTTGCAACCGGGCCTTAAACCTTTATAAAACAAAAGGATTGGTTAAAATGTATGCGCTATTTAACCAGTTCTATACTATCTCTTTGGTTTTTGTTTTGTAGCGTTAGTCTACCCTAATTGTAAAATTTATTTAAAAAAGAAATCGCAAACAATATATACCAACATTTAATATTGGTTATGTTTCTAATTTTATTTACTCGTAGAAAAAGTATTTTATGCAATCATTAAATAATTAGGTCCTAAAATCTTGTACCCATTACTTAGGCCACTCGGCAAAGCCTTGTGGCCTAATAAACCCTCATTATGCAACTATTGCATAAAATACAATTTTAATGGAAACGAGCTTTCCTTTTTTTATGAGCGCAGAACTTTACTATTACAACAAAACAGAACACCTATATTTAATATCACATGACAAAAAAGACAAAAGACAAAAAAAAACAGCATAAAAGAAAAAAATATATAGAAAATATTTTTGATACCCCATGAAAGTTAATAATAATATTTTTTATGGCTTTCTTTATATTTATTTACAATGTACAGACATTACCCATGTACGGATATTTATCTTTATAAATAGAATAAAGAGAGGAGTTTCTTTCATCCGGACATTCGGAATTCGAAAAAAGTAATTAATTTATATTTGGTGTAAACTCTGTGTCGTTCCCTGTAGCTGTATCTATATAGGTGGAACACCTTTTTTTCGACCATTTCACATAACACTGTTAAAATGACGTATAATAATGGTAACCTATCACAAACTCCAATTTTTTTCCGAAATAACGTTTGTTCGAATTTTCATTACACCGAAAACCGAATTATAACAAAACAGTTGGTCTTTCAGGATATGTTGGATGTTTATCGCGAAGACACGATTAGGTTCGGTTAGGTTAAAAAGAAAAAAACATTTTCCTCTCAAAATTACTTTCGAGGTTACGAAAATTCGAGCAAACGTTGTTTCTGGAAAATGTCATTTCGGTCTACTGACAGGTAACCTATAATAATGCTCTACGAGCATTGTATATTAATTTTCGAGCTCCTTGTGAAAGAGTTCGTCCAGGGAAGTACTGCCATCTTACCTATTTCTGCCGCCAAGCAGTAATGTCAGCATTACTGAGTTCCGGTTTGGAAGGTAAGGGTGTTGGTGAATTACAGGCACATGGGACTAGTCAACTTATGTCTTATGGCAGTGCCCCTCAGATTTGTGATTTAAAGCTCTAAGTTGCACAACAACTGTAAAAGGACAGGCGTGTCGCTTATCATCAGGCGTACGACTTGTTCGTTCCACCACCCGTTTTTTTTAAATAATATCTAGGTGAAGGGACGAACAAGTCGTGCGCCTGTTGGTAAGAGACACGCCTGTAACATTTTGGAACCTCCATTTGTACTATAGGTTTAGGAACTGTTATTTAAGAAATAACATGTTAAGTTAAATCTGAATACTGGGTTCAGTTATTACTCTGTTTTATAACCGTTGCTGTTTGACATTACTTTCTACGTGTATTAATATCTAGTGTTGGGAAGTGGAAAATTTTATTTTTCGCAAAAAATCATATTTTTTTCGTAATCAATGTCTTGAGACTTATTGTCTCAATTCTGCCAAAGTTCGTTTCATGCTAGTTTCATGGTGGGTGTGTAAAACTATACTAAATCCATGTGTAAAACAGAAAATTTGTTCGGTGACTCAGATTGAATAATATTTAATATTCACAACAATGGAAATGAAACTTTTTCAGGATTTAAATCGCGTATCGACTGTGAACTGGCAACCGCACATCTCAATTTTATCAACTTTACAGGATGATGAAAAAAATTGTTTGCGTCATTTATATAGTATCTGGTTTATTAAATAAAAATGTGTAGTGTTCATACATACACGTGTAAAAAAAATATTTAAAAACTACATTTGTCAAACTTGATTTTGCTAAACTACAGCGTTTCCAACAACCAACGGTTTGTTTGAAAAAACAAATACACGCTATTTAAAACCAGAAAAATAGTTTCATTTCCTATGTGTAACAATCGCGAACACCTAAGAACTCAAAACATAAATATTTTGTCTATTTTTTCCTATATTTTTCCACCCTTGACAGTGACACCTGTCAAAAGTTGAAGATACTATGCCTCTACCACGAGTTTACTATGACAGTTGACGTTAGCGACCGCGTAACTTACTTCACAACTTTGTATGGCAATTTATACAGCGTCTCTAGTGGTCACAACATTTTATATACAAACATTTTATCACGGTAGACGCATCGACCTCTATAATGAGAATTTGTGAAAATAAGCCAACCAGGGTTTAGAAATTTACCTTTAGTAATGATTATGCAATTTTATCTTATAACTTAGGCTAAATAAAAGTTTAAACATCGAGTATATGACCGGAAATAGTGACGAAATAAAGGCCACCCATCCCTAGCATCTCATCAGGCAAATGGGCCTTATATCACTTTTAAATATCAACTCTCGTTTGCACTGAAATCACAAATTAGAAAGCTGAAATAGTACAGCGCCAACAACTGACCTGTGTATACGTCTCCGTATATTCCAAAAATATTCTGTATTTATTGTAATAAAGATAATATCTCTAACAATGGGGGCTGTTCTATTAGGTGGTGAGGTAAAAACAGCAAAACATTTGATTACAAAAAAAAAAAATGGAATCACATTTCATCGGTAATTAAAATATTAAATAAGATATTTTTAAATTTTCGTCCATTATAGCAAAGCCCAAATTAAACTGGTCGATTTGAAGTGAAACAATTGACGTCAATTGTTTCGGATTCGGGCTGGCCAATAGGAGCGCAGTTGTTACGGTAATGATATGGCAGAATAGTTTTCAAACAAATTAAATGACATTTCGTCTCTATTTCTAGTTATATACTCGGTGATGACTTTAAAATATGTATCCAGGGATTGGCAAGTGTCCGGGTCTTACCCCGGTGCTTTGTTAACGCGGTGTTTAAATCGGGTTAAAATCTATTAACACCCGAAATTGAGGGCAAAAACGATTTAAATCGAGTTTTGTTAAAATTGAATGATGTTATTACAAAATGTTTACTGCTTCCTGATCTAGACGATTTGATTTTCTTTTCTATTGGATCGATTCACGTGAAATAAATCCATACAAAAACAATCGTATTCACTTAAATCGATTTTCGTAAAAATCGATTTGTAATGTACATCTTTAGTAGTGAGAATCCACAGCATAGCAAGGTGGGTACTGTGTGCAGTTGCCTCATTTTAATCTAAAAATTATTTTTTGCATCGAAATTTCTAATAACTATGGAATTATACGAAATTCCGTATGCGCTCACGATTTCGCGCAGAAATGGATTAAAAACTTGGCACTTTTTAACCAACTGTCCATCTCTGGATGTATCTAAACGTAGAACATAATAATACACTCCCGGACACATAAATCGAGCCATCTTGCGTTTTGATTTTTCAAAGTTTTTCTTGAAGAAAGGGTTATTGATCAATCCAGACATTATTTAAGCTAAGGACATTTAATACTGACAATGCAACGTGTCTCGAATTATGTGCTCGGGAGTATACGAGTGTTACATTTTTCCAATTATTCAGAAAATTACCCAACACTAAATTATATCCAACATTTTGAGTAAAGGACTTGAAACCAAGGCCGTTAAATAAATTAAAAAAAAAAACAGTCATGAAAGTACTCACTCGACAATAATCCGACTAAATCTGTATTTTTTGCCTGCCACACAATATGTAGACAAAAATCTATACCCAAGACGAAATATCTAGTCCATTAGTAGTTTCTGTCTACCTCAGTTTATTCGCATTAAGAATAATTTATATAGGTAGACATAAATGACAAACATCAAGATCCGAGGTCTATACCTACCCCGTTATCTAATCTAGCCAAAAACACAGCTCTTAGTTAAAGTTGGATCCTCTTTTCCGCTATATTTTTGTCTATTTTCTACATATTGGCTAACCCCGCCCCCGAGGATACCTAGGAGAATAATTAGACCTACTAATGTGTTGGATCTAAATTTTTTCGCACAGTCGTCGGGACAATCTGGGTTTAGTACGTAAATCTGTAACAAAAAAAAACACAATTATTAATAACTAAAATAAATGCAGGTTTTAAATAAAATAAATGCAGGTTTTAGTGAGTGCTAGTTTGTTGTTTTAAAACAAAGATCTGATGCCCCATTGCTACAGAGCCCGTCACTGAGTTATTTTGAGTTGGTTTTTGTGTCATTCTTAGTTGGTTTTTGTGTAATTTTGAGTTGGTTTTTTGTGTCATTTTGAGTTGGTTTTTGTGTCATTTTGATTTGGTTTTTGGTGTCATTTCGAGTTGTGTTTGGTGACGTGTTGATTAGGTTAGATTTAAAACTCTGAGTGGCGCTGCAACTGTTATAGACCGGTGTATCGCTTACTGCATTCGTCATTTGGTATCATAAAACAAGGTTTTTGAAATGTTTTTCTTGTTTCAAAATATTTTTGAATGAGTATAGTCATACCTGCTGGCCAGAATGTGCCGCGTACGCCAGCAGCGCGACATAGTACGGCCACTGGAGGTCTGCGTGTGCGCCGACCTGCGCGAAGCAGTACAGGCTGCTGCACAGTGCTACCGACAGCGCCGGCTTCGTGTGCGGACCGAAAGTCAGCGCCGTGGACTTCATGCCTATCCGCGCATCGTCTAGTTTGTCCTTAAATTTACGAAAAAATATTACTTTTTTGTAGTAGTTTAGCTTCTTGTGAAAGTGTTTGTCCAGGGAAGCACTGTCACCTTACTTACGTCTGCCGCCAAGCAGTAATTTCAGCATCACTGCGTTCCGGTATGGAAGGGTAGGGTGCTGGTGATATTACAGGCACAAGGGACTTGTCAACTAAAGCCCCTCAGATCTTTGCTATCTAAAGCTCTGAGTGGCACTGCTACTGTTATGGACAGGCATGTAACTTACCATCAGGCGCACTCTCATTGTAAGAGGAGGTCTGTGCTCTGCAGTGGGACTCTATACTGGCTAACTATTTTTATTTTTTATCCTAATATTTGTCTATATGTATATAATTACCTGATGGGCGTAGATAGTGTCATAGATGACAGTCCAAGCTAGTGCCCCAATGTACAGTGGTACGCATACTTCGGGGGCCACATGTCCTTGTAGGGCGCTATAGCCGAGTAGCGCCCCCCAGTTAAATGTCGCCCCAAGAAATAGTTGAGGGTAGTTTGTAAACCGTTTTGCTAGAGGGTAGGCGATCACTAAAACTGCAAAATAATAACGTGACTATATTGCATCAAATTATCTAATCTAGGAAATACATGATGGTACATTTACACCGGGCCGTCTGTCGTCTGCGCTTATAAACAGCGTTGCCAATGCCAATTGTTCAATATCCCCGAAATCAAAGTTAGAAATCAAAGTTAAAATCCCCAAATTTGGGGAGAGCATATCCGGAATTCGAAAAAGTAAATAATTAATATTCGGTAGTTTTAACAACTCTATCACTCCTTGTAGCTATATCTATACATTTGTCTATATGTGGAACACTTTTTTCCGATCGTTAATGATATTGATGACCCATAGACTAGACTTACCCATACTACTCGCACCCAACAGAACACTATAGCAGTTTAACTGCAGCAGTACACCTAAAGCTAATGTTAACTGAGCACCTAAAAAGGCTACAGCTTGCTTTTTCGTTATTGCACCTGAGACTAGTGGTCGTTCTTTTGTTCGTTCTACCTGAAATGTACATTTTTCTTCTTAATCCATATAAAATTAATGTCCACATACAAAAGTCATTAAATCGTATGAAACAGGCTAGGTTAGGCTATCGATACAGTCCCGTCCACTCAGATCCCACTCAAAATGACCTTGAAAATCTTACGTAAAAGACTAATAAAAATGGACTCGAAATGGCCCCAAAAACTAACTTAAAATGACCCCAAATACAAATTCAAAATGACTCCAAAAACATATTAAAAAACGACTCCAAAGAACGAAATTCAAAATAACCCCAAAAACAGATTCAAAATTACAATAAAAACATAGCGAGAATTAAGATATTCAAAACCCCAAAAACACAGTAAAAATGAAACCATGCTCGCTTCATCAATAAAATGCCACATACCTGTGCGTCAATATCTTTATCCCACAAGTCGTTAATGGTGCACCCCGCGCCTCTCATCAGCACAGCCCCCGTAAAGAATAAACCAGCCATATAGATGCTCTGCAACGGGGACACGTTGCCTGGGATCGAGGCTAGGGCTATTGACCAAGAACATGGCCAGTAGAGGAGGTAGACACCTGAAAATAATTTTTACAAAACTGTGAAACGACTGGCTCTTTATTACATCTTCTCCGTTCTCTTGTACGGAACGGATGTTTGGACACTCACAGAATCTATGTGCAAAAAAGTGGAAGCCTTCGGAGAGACAAAGTCACGAACGAAAGGGTGCTGCAACGTGTTGGTCGAAAACGAGAAGTGTTAAGTACCATCAAAAGAAGGAAGCTGGAGTATCTGGGGTCATGTACTAAGAAACCCAAAGTACGATTACAATTAATAATCCAAGGTAAAATACAAGAGAAGTATAGGAAGAAGGAGAATATCCTAGCCCAGAAATTTGCGTCTGTGGTTCAATAGGAGCACCCGATCATCATCCAGAGCTGCGGTGTCCAAGGTTTAGATTGCTATTACGCAATGCCATAACCACCTGTCTTGCGCCGATTGGATCCAGCGGATTCCCGAAACCTTTACCAGGTAATCAGTCCACAGTCCGGATGCGTAACGGAAGACCACCCGTCTTCCGTTACGCATCCGGTACACTTAAGTTTTGCAATTCTTTGGGCTATGTCGATTACTCTGGTTCTCTTGCGGATGTCCTCATTACTGATTCGATCTCGCAGTGAAACTCCGAGCACAGCATTTTCCATTGCCCTTCGTGTGACCTTGAGCTTTCTTACAAGGCCCTTAGTGAGCAACCACGTGTTAGTGCCGTAACTCATCACTTTTCATTACAGCATTTATAATTATTAGTTTGGATTGTAATTCATTCAGTGATTCTACTCACCGATGGGCTTGTCCCACCTGGCCAACTTGGCATATGGATCAATCCGACTCTTCCATATCTCGAGTCGACTCTCCACATCTTGCACCTCTTTCTGGTCTTCGTATACTTTATTTAGAACTATCTTTGGCGTTGACGTTTCTATAACTACCTGGAATTAGAGAAATATTCTTAACAGAATGGATAGCAAAATGTCATACCTGGGCAGCAACGTTGCTCCAGGTTGCTTTTATACGGAGTGGCCAAATTATAGCCAAAAATTTTTTTGGTCGTGGACATTTGAAGGTTTTATTTAAACAGAATATATAGGAATATCTTTAACTTCTGACTTCTCAGAATAATAAACCCTAAACATGTGAAAATATAGAGTTGAAGTTTCAACTCTATATTTTCACATATTTTTCATAAACAAACGCATACAAATTATGTCAACAAAAATTTATATGCGAGTTTGCCATTGTCCTTTTAAATTCTAAGAAACTCAGAGGTGCGAACCGGGACTCGAACCCACGACCTAACCTACTTTAACTTACTTTTTGTCTATGTTGATCACTAGAAGTTGAATATATTCTTCCTTGTCTATAGAACACATCTCTCTGTTGCCTCTGGAAGTAGACATTACCGCACAGGCATGACGTTACGTCTACATTTGTAGTAATCAACTTGCGTTGTACAGTAACAGAGTTAATATGGATTAATGTACGTAGGTTCAGGAGAGATGTTGATTTTATTGTTGTGTAGAGCATTTTTGGAGCTTTCTCTAGTGCATTGTTGAGCTGAAAGAGAAATTATTTATTTATTTGATTATAGACTAGCAGCTTTCAGTTTTAGGGTCCATTGAAAATAAGCGTCACAGTCCACCACCAATTTATGTGCACCAAGTAGCCGATATTCGCCCAAGCCAAAGTTGCCAATGTTAAGCATTTAGAATATGATTTTTTTTATTAAACATAGAATTATTAGGACATAGAAACAAAATAAGCCATTGATGAATAGTAGCATTGTTGCAACATTATTATTGTTACAATTGTTACAACATTGTTACACGTAACTGGTAGGCATGGTTCTTTTTAAACTATAACAGTGTTACAACCCCAGAATTGCTTGATTAAAAGTTAACATTTTCTCATGTGACTTTCTAAAGCAGTTAGTTAATATAATTACATATTGCACTGCCATTACAATAGTGTTATAACTCAAAATATGTGAAATTCAAGATTATACCATTGTTGAATGTAAAATTTGATTCTCTACATGTCAATAAAACTGTCATCAGAATATTTTAAACAACAACTAAAATTATCTACTTAATTAAATTTTTATTGAATTGATATTCAATAATTTTTTGTGAAATTACTCCACTAGTTTGTTATAATTATTAATACAAAGATCGAACACTCAGAAAAAATTCCTTCAATCCAGTTGGATACAAACCGACGTCTTCTTGCATACTGTGCCAGACGCTATGCAGATGAATAGCGACATCTCTCGCCAGGACTGGTAGCTGTAAAGGTACTAACTGGGTGATAAATCTTTCATAGATTCGTCCATTTATTGATTTAAACCAAATACAAAGACACGACGCAAGCACATAGAAAAATTCGTGACGTCCGTTGGTTCGTTCCGTGGCTTAGTTGGCATAGCGTCTGGCACGGTATGCAAGAAGACGTCGGTTCGTATCCGACCGGATCGAAGTAATTTTTTCTGAGTGTTCGATCTTTGTATTAATATCTACTTAGCCAAAATTGTCCTTATTTTATTCCTTATTTAAGTTAATACACTATTGTATTAACAGTGCAATATCATTACTGAATGTAATTTATTCTCTGCATGTGAAAAAAACCATTGGTAGAATATTGGTGGAGTATTGTCAGAAACAATCAAAAGATGCCTACTTAACTCAAAATAAGACCGACCTTATAATGATAAAGACACCAAAAATATTAAATTATTTTTTCTATTTTATTTTTCAATATATTTAGGAAATTGTTTAAGTTCAATAAACTATAATGACATATACATAAATTTTGATAATTTTTTTTAGGAAGTAATTTGTTTTTCATCGATTCTGAAAAGCCCACTTTTTGAGTTAAAACACTATTGTGTTAACAGTGCGATATATCAATACCAGAAGTATTAATTAATGTAAGGGACAAACCACGGTTTTTCAGGAGAGCCAAAAAACGATTTTATATTTTAAATCTGTCTATAACTTTTTATTGTCAACTCCAATTTTGGTCGTGTGTAGAGCAAAGGGTCTTAGAATTTCCTCTTCTTTTATGCTATAAATGACAGATTTATGAATGCCCAGCGGTTTAAAATATAGCACGTTGGTTACTAATATTTTATGTGTAAACTGTCGAGCATAGTAATAACATTGCCCAGCACTAGGGATACCCTGTGTCGCGGGTGCCATAGACACACACGTAAACAACCACAAATTACACCCAAACTCACGAGAGAAATAAATGTCGGCCATACAAATATTTCTCCCGACCCGGGAATCGCACCTGGGACCTCTGCGTGGCAGTCCGGCATGGTAACCGTTCGGCCACGGAGGCAGTTTAGTGTAAGCAGGAAGATAAATAGAAAATTATACGTAATTCTATTGGAAAGGTTACGGTACAATAGAATGTAAGGGTGCTATACTCTAAACATGACATGACACATGCTATATTCTAAACCACTGGGCATTCCTAAATTTTAATAATACCAATCAACAGAGCAGGAACTTCCGAGTCTAATGATACATGTAACTCATTTTCGACAAAATGTCCCTTACGATAATTGATACTTCTGGTATCAATATATCTCCATATAAAATTCATATTTTGCCTTATTTAAATAAAGAAAGCCATTAAATATTCAACTTGCCATAACTTCATTGACTTACAATTATATGGACGTCGGGTCCGCGCTAAAAAGTGTCCGAACTTATAGGGCGTTAAAATCGTATACAGAGCGTCATTCGCGCTTTAGTCTTCGTTTGTTCTACTGACAGCGAAGCAAGCAAAATTAGACAGTACTGCGATGACATTACAATTTAAATTCAACGTTTTAGCTTTTTCATATTCCTTTACATGTCACTACGTTTAAATAGGTTGATTTGGGCCATTTTTTTCGTGGTTTTTGTATTAGACCCGTCGTCCATTTATTTGTAAGTCAATGCATAATTTGTAAAATTTGTAAATTCTAACCTCAAACTATTATTTTACTTACCTTTAATTGCATATACCCCATAACCTTATTGCGTATTTGTAAGTTTACTACGTTTTCCTCCTATTTATAATAATAAATAAGATAAAAAACAAGACAATTATAGAAAACAATAAAAATACTTACAACAGTATCTACGAAAACGTTTGTTGCGTCGCAAAAACTGCACTAAATTATTAATAATGTCTTTTTACAGGTGAATATAATAATAAACAAGATGTGTTCTAATTTGAACAATACTTATAAAATAACTATTTCATAACAAATACAAGAATTAAAAATATAAAATGCGGTGACAGCCGACAGGTACACACGGACACATTAGAGGTGGGTGATAAATAACGTCACGATGAAAAAATCACGATGATCCGCCGTCAAACGGTATCATCGTGACTCGTTCCTAAGGAACGACGTTCCAAAGTCACATAGGTGTTCCTCCGTTCCAATTGCTATCCCCGTCACTCACATCACGACATACGTATTGGATATAATGCGCGATCTCCGTTCCGTGGTGACTGAGCGCGCCACTCGTTGTAATTCTCTTCAAATCGGGCCATTTCGGCGATGGGAGTGAATGAAATAGGATGACTTTCTTTGCTCACTCACAAGGGTCGTAGGTGCTTATACTACTAGAAAGGGCGGATGAAAAAATTCTGTAGCAGTTATTATAAACCTATTTATGAACAAAGTAATTATGTATATTTGTTTTATTATAGGAAGACTTGGTATTATATACTATATGTGTATACATATGTATTTATGTAGGTATAATTTACTTTGCGTATTCTACTAGAAATATAATTACATTACACTTTATTGCTATTTTTAACAATCCAACGATTCGCATTAAATAAGTAACAAAAAAAATTACATTAAATACAAAATCAACTTTTTGAATTGAAACTTATTACAAAGGGAGTAAAAACTTAAATCATTCTATAAAAACGGCTATAAGTATTAGAAAGAAGCCGCTGGCTAAAACCGTATATCGTGATGTAAGTTATAGGCGTGACAAGATCACGGAAGTAACAGTCGTGACAAAATCGCGATGATTTATCACTGTGATTTTTTTGGAACCAGAACGACAGTAACGGCGATAGAAATGTAACGCTATTCCCCATGTCTAGGACACATGTCATATTAAAAAAAAATTTTTATTGTACAGAAATAGCATATTTTAGAAACAAGTGAGATAACGTTATATAGAATTATATTAAAGTTGGCTTTTTCTTTCTAATTGCTTCATTAGAAGTTTGTTTTCATTTATAATTTTTCTTATTTAGTATTTTACTCGAACAGTTTTGGGTCATAGAAAAATTTCCATTTCGAAAACATCATATTTCTCTGAAAAATAAATATTTGTCCAACAATTTTCCTTTAATTTTCCACATTAATTTGACGTTGACACATGTCAAGTTGAAGTTACTGAACGAAAACGATGGAGCCAACAACAAGTGGTGGTGGTGCTGATGGTGGAGGGGCTCTGGAACTTTTGGAGGGAAAAGTGTCGTTTTTATTTTGACTTTCAATTATTTTGTGAAATCTAGTTTAAAGTGGAATAGGATAGTGCTATTGTGCCTTAATCGAAGATTAAAACGCGAAATTATACGAATCTCGAACTAAAATACTCGTATCGGCCCGTTTTAAGGAATCCCGAGTCAATCCAAGCACGCCGCCTCAAATTGCCTATCCTCTTTGTGGCGGCCATATTTACAGAAACATATTTAAACTTCATGTTTAGGCTGATGGCTTTGCCAAAGCCTTAATAAATTAAAAAAAAAAAAAATGATGGAGGTTTTTTCGCTGCTGTGAAATCATTTTAAAACACCTTTTTCTTTATGGGTCTGTTAGCAATACAAGTTTATTTTATAATTCACGTTAAATAAAACTTGAAAAGATATTTATAAATGCAGTGGTAAGTAGCTCCAAAACCGTATATTATCGTCGTGTGGAGAGGCCTCTTTCGTGCACCCCACTAGTTTGTTACAAAGATTGAACATAAAGAAAACATCCCTCGATCTGACAGCACTGGAATTTGCAACTGTGGCATACCAGGGTGACCGCTTTATTCACTGAATTAGAGACTGAACTGTTGAATACTCATAAAAATAATCCGGTAAAACTATGAACAAAAAAAGAAATTCGAAATGTTTGCTACCTCATTCTGTATTTCAGTTGATAGGACGGTGGCCCTGGTACGGCACAGATGTAGATTCAATGCCGGGTTCACGAGTTTTTCACATGCGTTTTTTGCTTGCTTGCATTGGTTGGGTACACGGCATAGAAATCTGCCTTCCGCGCAAAAGCGTTCACGAGAATTCCGCTTTGAGTTGCGCGGAGATTTGCGCGCTTGCGTGGCGCCTTGCCTTTATTTTGGTTGTATTGGGCACGTGGACGCTGCTGCTCTGTGATTGGCCAGTGTTGCTATCCTCCGCAAACGTTTCTTGTTGCTTGCGTGGAAATATCAAGCTTGCTAGTTATCAAACACGCGCAACGCAAAGAATTAATCCAACGCAAAGCAAGCGGCCGGCGCAAGCGAGCGACTCGTGAACAGTCCTACCTGCGCGTACGCGACAGATCTGTGCCTATGCGCGAAGCGAGTTACGCAAGCATGCGAAAAACGCAAGTGAAAAACTTGTGAACCCGACATGACAGATCCAGGGCAAAATTACAAATTTAATATTTAATTACCGATGAAATTTGATTCAGTTTGTTTTGTGATTAGATGTTTTGCTGTCCCCACACCACGGAATGGAACGGCACGCCATTGTTAGTTATATTTATTATCTTTATTACTATAAATACAGAATATTTTTGGAATATACAGAGACGTACACACAGGTCAGTTGTTGGCGCTGTCTATAGTTCAGTTCAAACGCGGGTTGATATTTTAAGTGATGTATTACTGGTGTGTTGACCAGGAATTGAATGGCCCTTATTTCGACTCTATTTCTGGTTATATACTCGATATTTGATACCATCTATTGAACAGTGTTAAGAACCAAACTAAGCGTCCAAATAAGCGGAGTTACGAGTGCGCCATTTCTTTGTATGAGCTTTGGTATCTGTTTTAATAATAGTGTTCTATTATCTGTGCATTATCTATTATCTATTATTGTGCATTATCTAGGGAGGGGATTTTATTAGTATCTCGCGGCTAATGTCACTCTTGCGCAAGTCGCACCGTATCATGCTACAGGCAATTGGTATTTGTTTGGTACATTATCATTATTAACGTTTTCCGAAAATTGACTTTTTTCTATAATGACACTATTGGATTCGAACGTGCGATATGAAGAAAGATAAATTTTTTGTCTTCAGGTTTAAAAAACGTAATTTAATTTTTCTTTTTTTTTCGCTTAGATTTCTTGTCTCGTAGTCTAAAACGATTCAAAGTCTCATTACTATGCGTTTTAATTTCTTTCATTATCCAAGGTTTGAAATACGACACTCTCGAATATCCTAAAGGTATTTTTTTCTCGCATCCTTTCCCTGATCCGAATGACGTAATGCCAACCTGAAATAAAGAATAAAATATTAAAGTATGTCTAAAATCTTGTGTTTTCACGTGAGCCATGGCATGCTGTCTCGATGATACGGAATTAATGCCGGGTTCATGGGTCTTCCACCCATGTTTTTCGCTTGCTTGCGTTGGCGTACCCATACACGGCGTAAAAATCTGACTTCTGCGCAAAAGCTTTCATGAGTCTATCGCACATTATATCTTTCTTCTTCTTCTTTTAAATGCTATGGCACGTTATATCCATTTCACATATGGGTACTATGACATTTCAATTTTTTACGTTGCATATTACAAAAGGAATTAGTAAAATTATAATAACCAAAAATAAACAATAATTTGTTGGAGTTGTAATTTTAAGTAAAAATTAGATTACATATATTAAGTAGACAGAAACAGGAATAATAAAGATAAAAATAAATTACCCTAACTACTTGATGCGTAAAATGGAATATTTTTTCCTTAGTGATTGACACCATAGAATCGATAACTAGAATCGGTAATAACCGGTACACAACAGTGTATCTGTGCTTACACCTTGTATGCGGGTCGATTTATTTTGTTTTCAATTTTGCAAAACTTAGGGCCTGTTTCTATTACGTCGTAACGTTTTATTCATCGTTGGACGACTGTCGCGTTTAGCCTGTTCCCACATCACGACCATCTGTCGTGACTGTGTCGTGGACGATGATTTTATCATTGAATGACTGTCGTGTCTAGCTGTTCCCACTAGATCGTGACGACAATTTATCGTTTCTTGGCAGCCGCCTTGTCGTTTGCACGACAGAATCTATTGATGCACTGCAGTCGCTTCTATTTTCTTTTGGAACCCAGTAGTGTCTATTTGCTCCCGTGTGAAACGGATGAAGATGATATTATAATAATGTATTACTTTTTAAAAAGGCGGAAGAGGAAGCAAGCAAACAAAGAAAAGAAAGTTTTGGGTACATTCAATTTTATTAAAAAGAATTCCATTAGGACTACGTCAAACGTTTATAGATGAACTGAAAAGTGATGAGAGATAATTTTGGGCCTATTTAAGAATTTAATATTTTATAATAACATGTGTAATTTAATTTGAACAAAACTCAATTCACAACAACTATTTAGTTGTAAATAGTTTTTGCCCTCGATTTCGGACATTAATGGGTTTTAACCCGATTTAAACACGGCGTTAACAAAGCGCTTGTCTATCTCTGGCTACGACCCAACGCTATGCGCTAGTGCAAAGCGAGTCGAGGGCGCGGGGTACGAGAGGGAAGAGTAGGGAGCAGAACACGTGCAGACAACGATAAATAAATCGTGACGACAATAATAGCTGCGACTATCTGTCGTCAGGTTTTTATCGTGATGTTTAATTATCGTCAAACGACAGTCGTTCTAACTCTTCCTATTGTCACGACAGTTTGTCGTCGTAACGACAGTTAATCGTGTTGTACTTTAAGTGAACAACTTCATTTAAATATACAAACCATGACACTATAAACTGCACGACTATCTGTCGTTACGACATAATGGCAACGCGCCCTTAGATTTATTTTGTTTTGTCGTTGTCTTTTTGTTTGGTTATTTTTTTTTATGTAGTTTTTTAGTAACTAAATAACGTAATAATCATCTTTCTTGTTTTGTTTATTTTGTTTTAAAAAATTATTCTCCCTAAATAGATTCTTTCTTCGTTACAAATAATTTCGGTCAGATATTTAAGTCGATTTTAGAAACTATAATCTGAAACGTCACTGTACCCACGTTATGTGAAATCATCGAGTATATAACCAGAAATAGAGACCAAATGTCACTTAATTTTGTTTGAAAACTATTCCGCCAAATCATTACGATGACAACTGTATAACTGTCATTTGTTTCGAATGGACGAAATAATGGATGAAAATTGAAAAATTACATATTTAATAATAAGATGTTTTGCTGTTTTTCCCACACACTGAATAGAACAGCAGGGCATTGTTAGAGATATTATCTTTATTACAACAAATACAGAATATTCTTGGAATATACGGAGACGTACACACAGGTCAGTTGTTGGCGCTGTACTATTTCAGATTCCTAATTTGTGATTTCAGCGCAAACGAGACTTGATATTTAAAAGTGATATAAGGCCCATTTGCCTGATGAGTTACCAGGGATGGATGGCGCACATTTCGTCTCTATTTCTGGTTATATACTCAATGTGTTCATCTTATACTGTTCCACGTCGAAACTCAAAGAGGCAACTTAGAAAAATCTTTGCACGTGCCCGTTTCCAGGACAAATTTAATGATTCATTCCCTGGTGTCCAGGATGCTTCCCAACTACAATAGCTTGTGTAGTCATGCAGATCTTGACATATATTTTGACAGTTTACCCCGTCATAAGGACAAAGTTGTTGCGGCCCACTCGTCAAATAGAATTTTTTTGGACTTTTCAATTCTGTTTTACGTATATTTTTTATTTAAAATTTATTTACAATTTAATCTGGTGTAAACAATAGAAATTAAATGTATATTTTAATGGAATAATGCATAAATAGTTTATTATTTGAATTATGTTGTTTTTAAGTGAATATGACAATGATGTGTTCAGCTGTAATCGGCTCATATACTAGTATTGTATTATTATAATAATGTATGTAAATGTTAAAGTACAAGTATGTGCGCTGTTGCTGAACCAATAAATAAATAAAGTACAATACGATTAACTGTCGTCTACGACTTTTTGACGTTACAACGTCAGACTATCCAGACAATCAAAAGAGAATCATAAATAGTAAATGTTACGATAAAAATGTGACGACAGATAATCGCGGCTACTGTTGTCGTTACTTATCATTTATAAAAAGTTGTTGTAAAAAAATAATACATTGTTAAAATTTCATCTTCATCCATTTCCATTTCACGCGGGAGCGAACGCACGCTACTGACTTCCAGAAGAACATAGAGGCGACTGCTGTGAGTTGACGATTCTGTCGTGCAAACGACATGGCGGTTGTCGTGAACCGATAAATTGTCGTCACGATCCAGTGGGAACAGCTAGACACGACCCTCGTTCAACGATAAATAGAACGCTACGTAGGTATTTCAATTTATATATGTATATATATATATATATATATATATATATATTGTAATAATTGAACGTATTCATTAAAAGTACAGAAAAGTTTGCAAAGCGAAGGATAGACCGAGTTCATAGGGGGCGCCACCAGCGTACGAACAGTCAGACGGAACGAAACGTCAGTGATGGTAATGAATTTTCGAGCGAGAAGGTTAGATAGGAGGACTGAAGAGAACTCGGTCTATCTGGATCGGAGGAAAAAGAATTGTAAAAGAAGTCAGTGTTGAGTGAATAGAGTTATTGAAAAGTGAGTGTGGTAAACATACTCACTTTTCAATAACTTGTTTTATTCTTATCTGCCTATTTCACCTTTTTGTGACCAATGATTATATTGAAGTTTAACTCGGCATTGCAACTACATCTTATAATAGGAACGTGCCCTTACTATAACACAGCGGTAGTAGGTACGTGGGTTGGTTTCTTACCAGAACATGCTTGCCACCGGGGCGAATTAATACCAAAGGTCCTCCAGAATCCCCAAAACACGTCCCTCCGAAGGTGCCGTCGCCACACAACGTCTTATTAGTGACGACTTTTTTCCCATAAACTTTCAAACAGTCGGAGGTGTTTAATATCTTTATGTCTACAGTTCTTAAAGTTTGCTTCCCTTTTTCTGATTCTGCTGCAAAAAAAAAAAAATAGCAACTCCGTGGAGATAAAGCGCTCTATTATTAACGGGCTTGCTGACCTTGCTGGGCAACTTGCTCGCAATAAATTTTTATATTTGGAGATATATGAACCGACCTATTCAGTTAGAAATTTGATTTAAGTATGTTACTGCTGAACATAGGCCCTCCCCCAAAGAATGCCACAACGACCTGTCACTTAAGCTTTGCAATTCCTAGGGCTATGTTGGTTGCTCTGGTTTCCTTGCGGATATCCTCATTACTCATTCGATCTCGCAACGAAACTCCGAGCATAGCCCTTTCCATTGCCCTTTTAGTGACCTAGAGCCTTCTTATGAGGCCCATATTGAGCGACCACATCTCAGTGCCGTAAGTCATCAGAGTCATCTAAAACACTCAATGTTGATGATGTACTTGGAAAAATGTTTGACGTACAAACAAATATGGCCGTCTACACAAGGGGCCAAATAAGGAGGTTAAAGAATAATAATAATATTAATTATTAATACAAAGATCGAACAATTAGAAAAAAATCCTTCAATCCGGCCGGAATCGAACCGACGTCTTCTAGAATACCGTGCCAGACGCTATACCAACTAAGAAACGGAACAGCGGACCTCACGAATTTTTCTATGTGTTTGTTGTCGTGTCTTTGTATTTGGTTTTTTCAACGAATTTTTAGCCGTCGCGCCATCTATGAGAATTTCGTCACTCAGTTAGATACCTTTACAGCTACCAGCCCTGGCTAGAGATGTCGCTATTCATTGTATGTAAATTTTTATTGAATTGATATTTTGTGTGAAATTACTCCACTACTTTGTTATAATTATTAATACAAAGATCGAACACTCAGAAAAAACTCCTTCGATCCGGCCGGATTCGAACCGACGTCTTCTAACATACCGTGTCAGACGCTATACCAACTAAGCACTTAACTAATATTATTACGTATTGTTTTATGATTCGAGAAACGATTTACTACACTATCTAGGCTGGTTTCACAGCTGTGCGTACGTTCATATGGATTGTCCGCTTGCGAACCATCCGCATGAGCAGGATCCGTAGTGATATGAAGCTCTGAATCGAGTATTTGATTTAAAGCGGCTATTCACAGCCACGGCGGAAGCCATTCGCATACAACGATGTTCTAACGCCACACGTGATACTCCGCTCCGGTGCTCCGCGCGGTCGGTTCGCAGATAAATCCGCACTACTCTGAAACCAGCCTAAGAATCATATTAACCAATCACGATCATGGTTTTCTTAATTACAAATGTTACGTCAGTTTAACAGCTCAAATCGGGTGAGGTCGCTGTGGCTGTTTAACGTGGTCTTATGACATGATGGTCACCATATGAAGTGAAGTTCATCAACTTGATCATCACAAACGCGCATTGACAAGATGGACTTTTTATACATTAGTTATTGAAAGTGATAAGTTACATTTGTATGTACTTACAGTCACTTGTTCTTCCATATCCTGCTGCCCGCAATTTGACGCCGACAAACTTTTCTTTCATCAGTGTACCGGCTGGAAGGACTATGCGGTTTATCCACTTTCCTGTTCAATAATACTTCTCATTAGCTTATGAGTAACAACTAAGGGCGCGTTCCAATAATAATAATAATAAATAATAAATTTATTCAATTTAAACATACAGCACATAAACTAGATGACTACAATAAGGTACAGTTCGATTGTATGGGCAAAACAAAAGTTGAACCATCATAACCTGTTCTAGGTACAAAACCTGTGTTAATAGTGTTACGAAGATTCTCCGTTTTGGCAAAATCAGAAAAGAAAACAATCTTTGAGCTAAAACTGAAATAGTGTAGTGCAGTGCCGTGAATCTCGTGTAGAGTAGCAATAGCAGTAATAAAAAGTATGTGTAAGTGTGTGTGAATGTGCGTGTGTGTGTGTGTTTGAGTGTGTGTGTGAAATGAAATGGAGTAGAGTGCGCTTAAATAGCATCTATATAGATAGATAAATAAAATAAATAGATAAATAAAATTTAAGTATGGAAGTCTATTTATGATAATATAACCAGGAGTTCTTCCGTCTTCTCATAAGATAATTTCTGTAACCATTTTCTTAGTATATATCCAACTTTATACTTGTTTAATGCATATATTTGATGGGATTTATTAATTTTGTTATATAATCTAGTACTTAGTGCAGTTAATTGTCCGTTAGCAAAGGCAGTACGGCATCGCTTGGTATCACAGACAGGGAAACCTTGTCGTCTACCAAGAGCAATTTTATTTTATAATGTTGTAACGTTTTATTTATCGTTGGATGACTGACGTGTCTAACTGTTCCCGATAGATTGTGACGACAATTTATCGGTCCACGGCAGAATGGCTTGAAGCTGCGATTATCTGTAGTCACATTTTTATCGTGACGTTCTATTTATCGACAGACGACTGTCGTTCTAGCTCTTCCCATTGTCACGACAGTCTGTCGTCGCAACGTCAAAAAAGTCGTGAACGACAGGTAATCGTGTTGTTGTATGTCGTCACGATATTATGAAAACGCGCCCTAATAGGTACGGTGGGCCTTTGGGTAAAGTCATGCACACTGTATACAAATATATATTTTGTTTAAAATATAATAGTAATAATAATAATGCACACTCATAGCCCCGTACTAAGTAAACCCTGTATCGCGGGTGCCACGTACATACACATAGACAACCACATTTTTTTATGATACCAAGTTATGACGAACACGTCAATAATGTATCAATGCGATACAATTTTATTAACTGCTTCCTTAATAGAAAGGTTACCATGCTAGGTACATTGAATCCATGGCGAAAAATGCAGCCAGGAAGCTTGGCATCCTTTCCAAGGTGAGGCGTTACTTCACACCAGGACAGTTGCTTCAGCTGTACCAAGCACAAGTCTGGTCGTGTATGGTGTACTGCTGCCACTTATGGAATGGCTCTGCTAAATATTAACTGGCCACCTTGGATTCAATCGACAAGCGTTCCAAGAGGCTTATAGGTGACTCGAAATTAGTAGAGGCGAAGCTGCAGAGCCTTGAACACCGCCGTAAAGTTGCCTGCTTATCGGTATTTTACAGGATATATCACGGAGAGTGTGAGATAGAATTGCATAATTTGATTCCGCCTTCCCCTTTTCATTATCGGGGGACTAGACGTGGGCTGGGATTCCACCCCGCGAAGCGTTTGCTCCCACATTTATACGGCGAGCGGCTAGAGAGTGGAATTCCCTACCTGCGGACTAGTTCCCCGAACGCTATAACTTGGACCTTTCCAAGGTGAGAGTGAATAGCCATTATGTAGGTGTGCTTGCTCAAATGCGCACTTATTGTATATATAAAAAAATGCTGAATTACCACGCAGAGGTGCCGCGTTCCATTCCCGGACAGGGAAAAATATTTGTATGGCCTACATTTATTTCTCTCGTGAGTTTGAGCGTAATTTTAATAGCAGTAGGGCTCCTTGTGAAAAAGTTTGTCCAGGAAAGTACTGCCACATTATTTATTTCTGAAGTCTAGACATGTGTCTATCGTGATCGATCGAATCAAAATGTTTCGAACAGCCCTTTGACCTGATAACCCGAGTTACTAGCTTCTAAATAACCCGATCATTTTAGAGTTTCATAGGTCATGCGCACAATATTCGACTTTATCTCTATAATCTTATAGATTATTCAACAATTCACAATGTTATTGTTGTCTCGTTCACTCTCACGTGAAGTTTCCACTCACGACACGGTTCGCCGTCTGACTCTTCGTTTGAGTCAAACATCAACAAGCGATCAATGAGTCAACGGGTTAACGGATCAATGTGTCTATCAATCATTCATCCTAATTGCTCCGTGGTGTAGTGTCCATTACATGGCTATTTTGTAAGTTTAATCTATTTTTCGGTATGCTGTGTTTATTTATGTCTGCACTAGCTAATATTAATAATATTAAATTAGTAATTTTGTATGTTCATAATTTTTTTATTATGTATTTTTGTTTTGTAGTTGTTACTTTTCCTGGAAACAAATTTTAGAGTCCTAAGTGTGGTTTATAAATAATGCATTTAACTTTATACAAATTACCCATCAGCAGGAAAAAATAAAAGTTAATTGTATAATTTGTCACTTTTAAACGCCATTTGGCAGTATCGTAAGTGACGAGTGATCCGCTAAAAGATCGAACATATGATCCAATCATTTGACCCGATTACATTACGCATGGGTCATGATCGACCCGGGTAGCCAGAACCTTACGTTTAAGTGCATAATGCTGCCCTCTTTGTCATAACTAACTCATTTATATTTCGTGATACTAGTCCCGTTTACACAATCACTCTATCGCGCGTGGTCAGGAGCGTATAAGATTGCACGCCAAATCGTGCGCGACTACCTGTTTGAATTTTTTTAAGCTAACGCTCTTTTGCGCTCGATTGCTCGTGTTCGTTTTTGGTACAACGAAAAGAGCGTCCGTGTAAGGACTCATTCAGAGTGCAGGCGCGGGCGCGCCGGCGGGTGCGGGCGCGCGGGTCTAGGCGTCTACGAGATCCTCGTTGTTGTCGCAAAAATATCCATCGTAGCTGTTGATGTGCCAGGGACATATGTATTTAGTTTAATATTGTTCGTCTGTTTAATTGTAATCAAACTTCTCAATTAATTAATTAAACCTTATTGTATAATTTTATCAAATTAAATAATATACACGTTCCTATTTTATCATATTAATTTCCATTCAATCGTATTGTAATTTGTTGCGCATGACATGGTACCTATTAAATGATAACTACATTAAATGGAATAGACTGTTCATGTTTTGTGTTTAAATTAATATAATTATGTGCTTGTCACTCAATGTTTTTAGTGTCGCCTACTATGTTTCGTAACACGTGTGTTCTGTTGCCAGATCCAAAACCAATTAAAGGGGGCTCCAAATTTCATTTCGCTGATCTAGAAAGCTGTTGATCAGAATCAATAGCTCAAATTCGCTGTAAACTCGATTACGTCAGTTATGATAATGAGGGCAGAAAGATTATTGTAAAAACTTACCATCGTATTGAGTATACTTCATGGACATAAGAGCGACGTCGTTCTGAATGAATTTTACCTGATAGTTTGGGTGGAGCTGCAATCATGGAATTCACTGGTTAAATATACCCCCTGGACCACCAGTAGTCTGCTTCAACTTCAACTTTTGTGTCTATGGCACCGTCGTTTTGCGCGACGATTTTGCCAATGTCAGGGTTGAGAGACATGTGTAGCGGTAGTGAGATAGATTGCCGGTTATTAAAATACTTGTGCGGCGGTGTTTATTCACAATGACGGTTATATAAATATATTTTAATGACATTACAAAAATATAATTTGAGAGCTCATGTTATTTTCTTTCTTTTAGAAACATTGTAGGAAGTTTTATTTAGCGGGAAATAAAAAATAAAATTGTTTAGTAAAACAAAGTTAGGCGTCGTTTTCGTTCAGTAACAAACTTTTGACCGGTGTCAGCGTGGAAAATTATCATGGAGGATGGAGAAAGAAAAGTCTGCTAATTTTAAATCATCTCAGTTGTGCGTCGATAGTGTCAATGTCAAAATTTCTAGTGACAACAAACAAATTAACTGGATGGCGCCATCGACTATATAACCAGAAATAGAGACGAAATGTCATTTAATTGGTTTGAAAACTATTCTGTGACAACTGCGTTCCGATTGGCCAGCCCGAGTTCGAAACAATTGACGGGTGTCGTCAACTGTTTCACTTCAAATCGTCCAGTTAACTTGAGCTTTGCTATAATTATTTCATTACCGATGAAAATTGATTCCGATTTTTATAATTAGATGTTTTGCTGTTTTTTCCCGAATGAAACAGCACTCCATTGTTAGAGATATTATCTTCATAACAATAAATACAGAATATTTTTGGAATATACGGAGTACGTCTCCGTATATTCCAAACACACACACAGGTCAGTTGTTGGCGCTGTCTATATTTTAGTGCAATCGAGATTTGATATAAATAGATGATGTATCACTGTTGAGTTGCCAGGAATGTAAGGCCCTTATTTCGTCTCTATTTCTGGTTATATGCTCGATGGTGCCGGCCATTCTTTTATTTTGTTTAGGATTAACGCCATCTACCCATATTAGGAAGCGTTAGTTTAAATAAATTAGTTTGTAACACACAATGCCATCCATGCCATGAGTATTGAGTATTGAGTACAATTGTAGCTCATACTTAATATGTGCATAATGTTAAAAGAAAAATCTATCTATTTATATTTCATATTAAAGGGGACTTGATACCCACTGCCTATTACATTGAATAAAGAAAATACGTTTATTACTCTACTAAACATAGGAAACACAATACTTAAAAACGAATAGAAAATTCAATTGAGTCGATGCACTCAATCGTATTTAACCAGAAATAGAGACGAAATGTCATTTAATTTGTTTGAAAACTATTCCGCCAAATCATTGCGGTGACAACTGCGCTCCGATTGGCCAGCCCGAATTCGAAACAATTGACGGGTGTCAAAAAAATTACCCAACTAACATTTAATTACCGATGAAACGTGATTCCGTTTGTTTTGTAATTAGATGTTTTGCTATTTTTCCCACACCATCGAATGGAACAGCCCCCATTGTTAGAGATATTATCTTTATTGCAATAAATACACAATATTTTTGGAATATATGAATAGTACACACAGGTCAGTTGTTGGCGCTGTACTATTTCAGCTTCCTAATTTGTGATTTCAGCGCAAACGAGAGTTGATATTTAAAAGTGATATAAGCCCCATTTGCATGATGAGTTGCCAGGGATGGATGGTTCTTATTTTGTCTCTATTTTATGTACTCGACTGAGTGATTTATTTATTTATTTATTTATGTCTTCAATACAAGAAACTTATAATTAGGAGAACAAGAAAAAAACAATGCGCATAAACCAATACAGGTTTTTCGCACATTGTGCAATCGTCTTATTATAAAAAACAATACTTAATATAAAAAGCATAACACGGTTCATATCCAATATTTACAATATAAAATATGCTTCGCTGTAAGTAGTACAATAATATTTCTGGGCATACATTCCGGTCAACACTTTGCAAGAACTGGCATAAAAATTTAGAACATACGTAAGAAAAATTACGTCCATTGCTCATCAATGCCTGGATGCATTGCGAGCCCTCGTCGCTCATTCGTCAAGCAATGTACTGGCTTGCATTGATACAAGTAGGTAGTTGTCGAAAACTGCGCAGAATATGCACGGTCCGTATTTAAAATTTTGCGTCAAAGTAGGCGGTAGACTGTAAAAACGTAATACAGGTTGTTTTTATTTAACGGTGTTTTTGCAATAGGGTTTACCTAGGTAATAATTTTTTAGTAAAAGTTTAATATTTTTATTGTTGATTTTAGTTTTTACCGTAGGCGGAAGGTTATTTATTAGTGTTGGTATTGTGCATTTTAATTGATGTTTTCCGTACAAATTATTATACCGAGCGACGACGAGTTGAGCATTTAATGCACTTCTAGTGAATATCTTATGTGACACTGGTTTTTGTATCTCTTTATTGAAGTACTCCTCTACTAAGAGTGAATATTCGACTTTTTTGTGTATGGGTAAAATATGACAAAAGTGGAAGAGATCATGGTATTTACTATGGAATTTTTCTTTGATTTTAGGTGGTATTAACACTTTCATTATACGCAATTGCAGTTCATAAATGAGGTCAAGATGTGACTTGGACGTACGACCGTAGCTGCTAAGACCATAACCTATTACTGTTTCACCAAGGGATTTGTACAGAGTGAGAAGTGTTTTATAGGGGATTTTATTTTTAATGAGCCGAAATTTTGCGAGAATTGATCTCAGTTTATTGCATACATAGTTTATGTGGCTCGTCCATTTGAAACGGTTGTCCATTATAAGACCTAGATATCTGTATTCGTTTACTATGTCGATTGTTGGGCAACTACATCGGTACGGTTTTGTGTGGAGACATGGGTGATTGTGAGCAAACAATTGGAGTTGTCTCTCTGTTCTGTTTTGGCTCGAGCTCACGTACATAAGTTTGGTTTTGCTCGCGTTGAGTACTAAACCTGAGTCGTGCGACCACTTGCTTAGTCTGTCAAAGTCTTGTTGGAGGTTTTTAAGAGCTATGTCCAAGTCAGTATGAGCCGCGACTAGGCATGTATCGTCGGCAAAGAGATAGATTTCACTTTTGTCTATAATATTAACTACGTTATTTACGTACGTAATATAATGCACAGGTCCCAGCACGGATCCCTGTGCTGTGCCTTCTGTAACTTTTATTTTATTACTCTCCGCTTCTCCAACTTTTACGTAGAACGCTCGATCTTCAAGGTAATTTTTACACCAATTTAGGATTGAACCTCTTATACCGGACTCTTCAAGTCTTTCCAGGAGTATGTCATGTCTAAGTGTGTCAAATGCCCTACTGTAGTCGATGAAAACTATTAGTACATGTTTTTTACCGTTCAGATGTTCATACATACTGTCAGTGAACTTGGTAAGCAGCTGCGTGGTACTCCTATTGGGTTGAAAGCCGTATTGATTGCAGTTGAGTATGTTATTTTTTTTATAGAAAGTATGGATTTGGTTGCATATGTACTTTTCTATGATCTTGTCTATAGTTGGTAGGATTGTTATGGGTCTATAATTGTTCATATCGCTATGCGTACCCTTTTTATAGATTGGCCTGACGATACCTGTCTTCAATTCAACAGGATATTTTCCAGTTGCCACACTGAGGTTAATCAATCTAGCGATGGATTGGGTAATCTTAGTACAAAGATTTTTTACGTCAAACGCACGTATACCGTCACATCCTGGGGCTTTTTCCCTATTAATTGATTTTATTATTTTATCTATTCTATCATTATTTGCTTTCTGAAACCTCATTGTAACGTTCGCACTGTTAATATATGTATTTTTATCCAAGACTTTCTTTTCACAGGTAGGTATGATCGATTTTACACTATTTTCGAAGGTACAAGCAAACTGGTTAGCAATATCTACCGAATTTGTGTAGTATTTACTGAATGAATTTAGTATTACATTGTCTACGGAGTGTCTAATTCTACCAGTTATTTTGTTAAGGATGTGCCAGAGCTTTTTCGGGTTTTTTAAGTTATTGGTTATTTCATTCCTAATTATTTGATTCTTATTCTTTTGTATTATTTTATTTGCCTTATTTCTGGCACGGTTATATTCTAATTTTAAAATTTTATTAGTGTAGTCTTTCCGCAAGTCATTGTACAGCACATCTCTGCGCTCACAAGCATTAATAATCTTATTACTTAACCAGTTGGCATTTATACATTTTGAGTTTAATTTAACTTTTACTGTTGTTTCCGATTCTTTGTAACATTTTTTAACATTATTGTATATAAAATTGTAAATTTTATTAGGACATTCAAATTGGTTTGTATATTCCCACTCAATGTTATTTAATAGATGCGATAATTTTTTGAGTTATATGTGGTTTTAAATTTATACGCACCCTGTAGTGGTGATGTCCCTACGCAGGCGATAACAATCATTCGATGATCCGCTAGTAATGTTCCGAGCGCTGCAGTATACAGGTTCTGCGTACTGGATCTAGCGTAAATGTGGTCAATACATGATTTACTGACTTTTTCTTTTCTTTGTTCTATTCTTGTAAAGTCCGTAATTCCGCACACAAGTCCCGCGTTGTACATGGTTGTGCTATACTTGTGTTTTATAGGTAGATCTTGTTTTAAATCGATGTTGGTGTCGCCTAATACGAGTAAGTCGCTGTTACGGTTATTGGCGAGAAGTAGCTTGTGTAATTCCTCGACAAATAAGTGTTTACTATTTTGTGGTGGACGATAAATCGCGTATAGATGGATTGAATAGTTATTTTGTGTTGTGATTACTCCTTGCAGGCATTCAAACAGGTACGTATTAGTGTTGGTTTTTACGAATTTGTGCTTCTTGTTTACATATACTATAATTCCACCGCCCTTTCTTGTTTTTCGTAGTTTAGTGTACATGTCATAGCCCTCCAAGTGATACAGACAGCTTATGTTGTCCGAAATATTTGCCTCAGTAATTACTACTACGTCTAAATTAGGTTTACAGGAATACACGACTTGTTCCAAAGATGAAAAATTTTTTATCATTGACCTAATGTTAACGTGCACGCACAAAAAGTTAATATTGTTATGTATGTTGTTTAGAAAAGTTTGTAGGTTAGAACAATCGAACAATTCGTAAATATCATCACTTATTGGTGATATATTCATTATTTTTGGGGGTAGATTAATTACTTACAATTGTATATGTTGCGTATGTAGTTATAATAAGTGTCTAGCGTACTTAAGTAGATTGTTGTAGTTTTTTAATATCGTCAAGGTTTCTTACAATTATACTTTTCTGGTTCACTCCCTCTTGACGTACGCGTATGAGTCCTTTCTTGCACCATATATATTTGTATTTTTCCTTTAGCTCCTGCTTCGCGTGCCATAGCAGTCTTTTATTAAAAGGTGTTAGGGCTTCATTAATGTAAATTGGGATGTTAGCTATAGGTACTTGTACATTGGGGAGAATATCTCGTACTCGAATTTTAGAATTTTCGTTCTTACCCTTTCCTTTGTAAAGTTCGAGCCATTTTTCTTGACATTTCTCACTTTTAAGTTTAATCATTATGACACCTGGTTTGTCGTTTCTAGTTGTACGTCTCATTGCACCTTCAACTTCGTCTATAGGGGCGTCGATGTGCATGGCAAGCTTCTTAATTATTTCCATGGAATTTTGGTTTTCCTCCTGGGGTACATTCATAATTTCGAGGTAGGATGCTAGCTTTTCCTGTTCCATTTCCTGTAAGCGTTGTTCTAGAGCTCCAACTCGCGTTTCAAAGTGGGTATTTTTGTTAACCAGGTCTAAGTTTTTCTTTTTTAGTTCTTGTATATTTTGCTTTAAGGATTCCATAGTCTCAACCATCTCATCCATTTTCTCAGTGTGGAACTGTAGGGACATTGTTAGCTCTCGCATTTCTCTTTTAACCGCCATCTCCACCTCCTGTGCGATGTCACTTAGCAACTGTTTCACATTGATTTGCACCGATTGATTACGCTTATCACTTAATAGTTCCGAACTAGGATCAACATCATCATCCTCCTCAGGAATTATAAACGAACGGCGTTTTGATGAATTTTGATGACATTCTTGACAAATCCATTCTAAGTTGTCGGTGACACGCAGGGCTGCAAGCTGTTTGCTGGATAGTCCAGAACATTGATTGGTCCCGTGAACTATCTTCTCGCACTTACTGCACTCCATGCCAGGGTTCTTTTTGGTAATCGGTTTATTGCATCTATCACATTTAGTCATGATGTCGGTAGATCGAAAAAAAAAGACAAAGGTGAATAATAAAAGCGTGTTAGCTGTATGACTATTGGACGACGACTGATATGGACAAAGAGGCTAAAGACTCAGTATTGCTCATTGTGCTCAACTGTAGCTAGCTGTTCGTTTGCTAAATAAACTACCTCCAGGCTATCGATCAGCGTCATCAAGATAAAAAAGGGAATTTTGACCTTTTTCAGAGTTACGATTTGTGATATGGAGATTAGCAATGGTTTGTTGTTTACTCGTCATTGTTTTTTACCTCAGGTATGGGTCTTTTAAGTCTTTGTGAGGGAGCACAGTAGACTGGTTCCACACTACACTGGCGAATTCCAAATAACTCCGAACAAGATTATTAAAAAGTATAGTTTTTGTTTTCACTGATTTGAAATATTTTGAGTTACGTTTCAGGAAACCCAGTTATCTAACCCAATGTTATCTATGTATGTATTACATTTTAGTTCACTCTCAATTGTAAAAATGTTAATTTACATGAAAAGATTAAAGAATATTAAGTATACAAAACTACGCAGGTTAAGTATACTAAAACTATGTAGGTCCTCATTTATTATAGCTGAAAACCGCATTCAAAAATCTTCGTTGAGTAAGAAATGGCAGTTATCGCAATTTCCAGAACAATAATTGCTCGTTATTCAATATCAAAAATTTTGCATTGTATGGCTGTCATCTCAGTGTGCGACATGGTTTATCTAAGTTTATAGAAGCCACCGTGACACCATGAAAACGCACCATTATAAGTAAACTTACCAGTATACTGGTAACATTACGTCGAGTGCCACCTTTAAAAATCTTTGTTGAGGCGAAAACTATAGTAACGTTTGTGGCAATGTGATTGTTGTCCATACCGCAATGGGCCGCTGTCACTACATGGTAGTTTGTCAATAATGTTGATCCACACACAGATACACGTCCGTTTTCTAGTTTTATTATAAGGCCACCCTGTAAAATTATAACTTAACCTTAAAATTAATTAATAGATTCAGGCGGTACTTTGTGGAAGGCCATGTTAATGCGGTGGGAGGGTGGGATAATTAACTGCATGAAAAAATATTCAACACAAGCGCAGCTATTTTGCACAATTTAACTTTCACTGGGTTCGCGGAGTAGCAAATGAATTTACTTCCATTTTTATTAACCTTAAAAATTAAAAAAGTCTGCAACATGCATTTAGAAAAATTCGGTCAAATAATAATCTAAAATTAATTTGTATACAATGATCATTGACTTACAATTGTATGGACGTCGGGTCCGCGCTAAAAAGTGTCCGAACTTATAGGGCGTTAAAATCGTATACAGAGCGTCATTCACGCTCTAGTCTTCGTTTGTTCGACTGACAGCGAAGCAAGCAAAATTAGACAGTACTGCGATGACATTACAATTTAATTTCAACGTTTTAGCTTTTTCATATTCCTTTACATGTCACTACGTTTAAATAGGTTCACTTGGGACATTTTTTTCGTGGTTTTTGTATTAGACCCGTCGTCCAATTATTTGTAAGTCAATGACAATGATGTATTTTTATTCTGTTTTAATTCTCTTTTTTGGTATTTCTAATCTATGTACGTATACCTTTTGGGAAACTGTAAGTGCATAGAGTTATGTATGAAGTTTCCATACTGGTCTTATTATACAGTGTTTTTTTTCAAATGGGACACTATAGGGAAATCCAAAATCGTAGATGTTACAAGGAAACTGTCTTAAGTCTTTCTTTTTGTAAAAACAGTTTTGGTATAGTATTCTTTGGTCAAGCGTGAGTTGTTCATAAAAATGAGTATAATTGATCAAAGTTTTTTTAGTGCTAATTGACTCATGACAAATTTTTTGTTAATGCTGTTAGACTCAGTTTCTTATAATAAAGATTTTATAATAATCGAGGCAGCAGAAGTTTATCAAATTTAATAAAATGTTATTTGTACGAAAAAGCTTCTTAAAAAGAAAACTCGTCCCATACAACGAAATGATAATTTCATGAGAGCGAGTCGATTAGCGCAAAAAAATTTTCATAAATTTTATTCATTTTTACTCACGTTTGACCAAAAAATTTACATTGCCTAAAAATGGTTCCTAAGACAGTTACCTTGTATCTTCTATGTTTCGAATTTCCCCATACTGTCCCAATAAAAAAAATCATTTTATAATGTTACAACATCTAAGTTTAGTGAAGAAAACTTACTAAATACGGAAAGTCTCCGAGTTCAGCACCCACACCATTAACAATTCTAGTACTCGCTCTAAGCCTCGATGTAGAATCAGACAATTCATGAGCCCTTAACTTCTCAGCTGACGGTATACCAATATTATCATGATAGTTACAAAAGTATTTTTCCCATGCAGTTGGTTTCCTTCTTCCTTTTCTTATAAAAGCTTTACTCACAGTCCTTTCTTGTCTAATTAGAGGACCCCATTCAATCTTCATGGTAATTGTTTCATCGTCTTTTTTCTCAAATTTTATTTTTGGGGTTACTGGTCTGTCTATTTCTTCTTCCACTACAAGGTCATGCTTAAAATCTTCTAATTCTAATTGCTTCAATTCCTTGTCAAATATTTGTGAGTCTGAATTTTCCAAATTCTTTTTGTCGCTGAATTCTGCTGATATTTCATATGAATCTTGTTCTTCATGCGATTTTGATTCGTATTCTGTATCATCAAAGTCGCCTTGTTTTTCATTTGAACTTGGGGTTACACTTTCATTGTCAGTTACGTCTTCATACAGATATTTTTTAATATTTCGACCATAGTTTGAATTTAATGCGTCATTAAATAATTCCGCTACATGTTGGTTTATACCGATACCGCCTGTGTGTTTGTTATGGTTAAAATTCGCTATTTCAACGTTCGAGTTTATATTTTTATCAATATCTTGATTTGATATACTTTCTATATATTGGTTAAGAGTTGGGGTTTGCTCGACATTTAAAACAACTTTCTTGTTTGAATTCCCGTCTACTAAATCTTCTATCACATCATGTCCTGAGTCCAAATTGTTGACCGCTATATTATTTTGAACTAAAATATTATTTTTAGATCGTACTGAGTTGTCTTTCAGGTTTTTATCTGTGTTTGCATTTGAAATTTTATCCAATTTATATATATTTATAGGAATTACATCGTACCAGTCTGTATCCGTATCATATATCACATTTATGTTTACATTTTGCTTTAAATAAATATTCACATCCCCATCTCTTTCTCCGTTTCTCTTGTCTTTTATCTGGCCTGTATCCGTGTAAAAACTATTTATGTCTGTTTTCACATTCTGTGTCATTTTTTCATTCTCGTCTTGGCCTGAGTATGAGATTGCGTTTGTGCTGATAGTCTCAAGCCGATCTGAATTTTTATGCATGTATCTTCTGACATTTGTGACTTCTTTTGATCTGTAACTATCTTTTTGGTACTCCCTTCGGTCTGACTTTAAACTTATGTGTACACTAACAAGATTTAGAATATTTAATATATTTAAAAGTAACATTTATATTTTATAAAATATTTAATTTATAATTGACACTCGGACATTATACAAAGCGTGCAAACGACGCCTGTTTGAAATGGAGATAACCATGTTTCTGGGTTCAGTACTATATTCACAATTAAAAATGACTTTATTTTGACGTTATCCAAATTATTATTATTTTGGCTTGTAGTTGCATTATATTCTCACAAACTAACTATAATAGGTAAAGTAGTTACAGTTAGTGGAAGGTTATCAGTCATAAAATGTATATTTATTTCATTTCCACTTGTTCGATCGACTGGTAATTTCGTATCCGATGGAAATCTAATGGATTTAAAACTCTCACTGCACTTAGAATCCTTACTGAAAATCAGTGGAGTAAACGCTTGCGCTTTCCAGCAAATACCCTTTTGTTACTGCGACTGCTGGCACCGCAAACTATCTTTATACTTAGTGTGTTTGCTTATGTTTATTTATATGATGTGTGGTTTAATCTAATTTTAGTTTTGTTTGTGATTTTGTTTCTTAATTATTTGTGTCATATGTGAATGTTTTTTAATTATTTTTTCTTGTGTGGTGTCATTTGTTTCCTTTCATTCATTCGATGGCCTCCGCGGTCGAGTGGCTTGCACACCGATTTTCATGGTGTCATCATATCTGAGGTCGATCTCCGGCCGGGTCACTGCACAAAACTAAGTTTTCTACTCCTTGAGACAGGGGAGGTTCGAGGGTTATGTGGAACTAACCAACTAACCCCCTCCCCCGGTTGACTCTAATGTGTTCAAGGGGAGTACTAACCGTATCTCCTTTCAACACTGCAATAAACACCCTGGCGCAACCTAGAACGCACGCGAACAAAATGAAAAAAAAAAAAAACAGTTATAATTTCTCCAGTGAAATGAAAATCAGGTGCTTATTCTTAATCGCTTCCTAGGAGCATTGATCAGAATCGTGATTCCACTTCATCCTGCTAATTATCTACTTCCATCGGCTACGCTCAGTTGCCTGGTGGAATGCGGCGCTGACAGATAATTGGACGTAGTTAAACAAAAAGGATCCAATGCACATCCAGTCACTTTCGAGATATGGCAGTTTAAAGTTTAAAAGTGTTTTTCACTCTTGTTTTAATTTCAAAACTTATAATGTCACGTAATTCCAGAGATATTTATTTATGTTTATGTTGTTTTTTTTTGCTGATCTAAGAGGTTACACTTTAGGAACCGTTTGGTGCATATAACTAATTTTTTGATAATTTTGTGGATTGGATCCTTTTTGCCTAACTACGTCCAATTCCAGTTCTACGGGAATCTTATCCGACCACCGTTTGAGATTCTTGTCTCTAAGTCTTTTTCCTTCCACCTTATCATCAAACGCTTCAGGTTACTAGCATTTCTAAGCGCAACGTGACCAAAATTGTGTATCACACGCTGCATGCAGATTGAAGACAGACGGTGTGCATTGTCTTTTTCCTATACAAAAATGTAAGTACGCATTTCACCTCCATCTCACCTGATGGAAAGTAACGATGAGGTCGACGATAGAGCATGCTCATCTAAAGGGGCACGTGAGTCGCCCTTTAAGTCGTTAGTTATGTCCGGACATTGTCACTGCCCCGGTGGTGTGTGGTATACCCTAGGGGACGGTATAAAAACTAATGTAGAAAGATATGGGACTGCCCCGTTGTAATGTAACGCCTCATCCTGGAAAGAATGCCAATTGTCTATCTTATGTTACTGCCAATTCTCTGCCTGTCGACGTTTGTGATTGTTCATGTTTCTGCATCATATAGAGAGAAGACAAGTTTGTGAATTATAAGTCTTTTAGTTCTGCTTCCGATATTCTTGTCTCTTCTCTTGCTCAGTTGCGTCATTGACTTTGTATTTCTGGTACACAGCTGCTCCCACTCGTTATCAATAATTCGTGTGCAATTGGTACAATCATAATTGATGTTGGGAACCAATAGTCCGTGTGCGCATGCGTGTAGCATACTGAGCACCATAGCTAAAGCCATCACAGATAACAACTACGGAACCAAATACTCCATTGCCGGTAACGTTTTTGAAATGAAAATTGCAATTAATTTCCATGTTATAGCGTATGTCAATTTAAAATTCAATTTGCTATTATAATGTTCGCGTCATATACATTAGACACGGATATGAAATCACTGTACGAACACAGAACATTTAATAAACAGTCGGTACGAATTAAAAATACCCAGTTACAAATAGTGTACCCTAGGAAGTCAATTAAAGTCACTATTTGAAGTTAACAACTTCTCAACACCAATTTCACGATGCAAGGGTCGCCTTGGAGCCGATGTTCGTGAATTCGTATCAGTTGCGCTCGAAACAGCGGGGTCCTGGGATTCGAAAGCTCAGAACTTATATAAAGAGTTGTGTCGCTAACTCAGGCTAAGAACTCACGGAGCAATAAGTACTCAAGACATTGCACATTTGTGCGATCCGCCATTGTTGTGGAACGGATTGCAAAATTGGCGGGAGATGATCGCAAGTTCCGCGGTTATTTACAATCGATCGAGATCGCTGGATATTGCCAGGGCACACACCAGGAATGAGCTAGCGCGTTGTACTTACTTCATGGAAGACATAAAAGAAAAAGACGTAAAAGATTCTGGTTGCATCAGGAAAGACATTTACCGATTATTCGTAGTTTTTATGAACGAGATAATAGCTCTAGTAGCAGTAGAGCTCCTTATGAAAGAGCTCGTCCGAGGAGGTGCTGCTACCTTACCTGTTTCTGCCGCCAAGCAGTAATGTCAGCATTACTGTTTCCATTTTTAAAGGGTATGGGTGCTGGTGAAATTACAGGCACATGGGACTTGTCAACTAATGCCCCTTAGATCTTTGTGATTTACTGCAACTGCTATGGACAGGCGTGTACCTTACCATCAGGCGTACGACTTGTTCGTCCCGTCACTTGATAGTATAAAAGAAAATGAAGAAACGCACCGCCGGCGATGCGACCGCAGAGCGCGTCTACCGCTGAGTGTGTCGCCGACAGCGCAAGCGCTCCGACAAGTTTTTCATTTACATTACAATCGTGTTACAGCTCCAGCATTCGGTTCCGCACGACTGCACACGGCGGGCAACGTTATTTTGACCTCTCTGGGCGCGTGCTTGGGTTCCTTTTTCGTCGAAGTGAGCGCCTGGTGTCATTAGACAGATATAGTAGGCTATTATAGCAGAGGTATTTTCAATTTTGTATGGGTTTGATGTATTTGTTACGTTTTAATAATCTGGCTATTGTGCCAAATACTGTAGAGAAGCTCTGTCATTGGACAGGAATGGTATAAGAATGCTCACTAGAGCTTTAACAGAGCATTGTGGCTTAAACAAGCACATGTCAAATATTGGGTAGATAGAGAATAGAGAATGTAGATTCTGCTACGAGGCGAATGAAACACCTGTACATCTACTGACCCAATGCTAACCCCTGATGGGCGTACGAAGTTCCATACTGGGAAGGCACATGATACAACCGGAGGACATTAAATCTGTCAGAGCCAGAAAAGTCCTTCAGCTCTTCAATGCTGTCGGCTTTGGCTCTGCTCTGTAATTAGTGGTGATCACAATAGATCAGTTCATGGTCGCAGTGATGAGGGGATGCATAGGCCCTGAATGAAGCCGTCCTACACAGAAAAAAAGGATTTCTACTAATAAGAAAGAGCAATTTCTCAAAATATTTGCTAATTCTGAAAAAATATTTGTTAAAAGTAATAAAATATTGTCATTACAAAGATACTGCTTATCTTTTTCTAATATAGTTTTACTCTTAAGTTTATTCTAACTTTGAGACAAATACGTTCACTTCAAGATTTTATTTCATTTCTAATCAATTAATTGGACATTACTTACATCAAGAAATTCTTACCTCTTACATCAAATTTAAATAATCTTAAATGAATTCAAAATTTCTTGGGTGTATTTTAAGAAAATATATTCTTAAACAAAAAAAGAAGTAGTTTTCTATTCAGATTAATATTCTAAATTCTAGAGTATATTCTTAAAGCAACATTTCGTTGCGTTTTCATAGTCAATGTTGTCGTGACAAGTCGCCGAAGGCGCACGCGGTAACGATTACTTTTACTCGTGCTTGTAATCATAAAAATCATAAACAGTGATTTACCCTAAGAAACAATACGTAGTATCTCTAGTTTGTTAGGGTGTTATTTATATTATAGTCATATTTTAAGAAATT